GTGTGTGATAAAGTCGACTGTAACCGAGTAGAACCATCCCACCTTTCCAAGTGGCCTTGATCCTGATGAGCCCCTGCAACAGCACAAGTCCTGCTCCAAACCGGAAATATCTGCGAGTGAATGTGACAAGCTTCTCTCACAGAATCAAGGACGTTTGCTCCGCTGCCATATCTGCAGCGGTTCTCTTCGAGTCCACGCTGCTAGATGTCGCACGCCTGCAGCGTCAACGATATCGAGATACCTGCCTTCCGGGACTGTGGGCATTGGCTTCACTTGCATGAGGTACATCGAACCATCCTGTTTCCCGATGGAAAGCACGCAATCATCGTCAGTCAATTGATCCGCATAGCGTAAACGAGCGGCAAAATCTGGTGATAACCCTTGTCAAAAGAGCCTGTAATTTGTGATTATCGTGTTGGAAGTTTGTTTGCTTCACCCATGCTGCATGTCGTTGGTTGTTAGTTGCTACAGGCATCAAAGAACCAGGTTGGTGGATTATCACGCAGGATTATGTGGGACATGAATTTGTTCATCGGTAGGCAGAGTTCACGTTGTTTGATGCAGGAGAGAATCGTTCGCGGCTGTGCGAATATACCTCTAGAGTAACATGTGTTTCTCTAGTCCGAATTGTTTCGATTTTCTGTGATGTAGCCGCGCGGTCATAGTTGTAAAGTAGTGTTCCCATCAAACGGCTTGACTTCGTCGTCACGTTGTGCATCACGTCCGGAAGTTTCTCATGCTACCGGAAAAAGTCTGCAAAGGCTATGCGGCATGCCAAGTTGATGCGAGGATGCGGCACAGTGTGCGGGATGCCGCTCAGCGCCCAGGGGTTTGCGATCTCGGCTCGGTCGATGAGGATATAAGGCCGTCCGATACCCGGGGTGGGACCATGATCTTTTCGGAAGTTTGTCCGGGTCCGCACAAGGCCGGAACAGCCCCGGGGTGAGGGTCCTTCATCTCAGTCTGCATGGAGCCGACGAGCACTCCTCCTCTGAGGTCGTTAGTGCGTGCTTCGATGCAACTATGTTCCAACGACTATCCGCAACCTACATGTTTGTCTCTTCCAGATCCTAGGCTCGTCTGTTGGTTGTGAACAGCATCGATGCACCTTCTACTGGGGCCCTTGCATCCGAAGCTCTAGATTCGATGATGGCCTGGCATGTGGCGCGACAACAAAATGCAAGATGGGCCGTCAACGGGTCCGAACTGCATTTCGTCGGATTAAAGAGAAGATAGCAATGTTATCGCCGGAGGTGTAACGAGATCCTGCCTTGTATAAGGATGGCTCTGCCAACTCTTGTCTTAGCAACTCCCTGTCAACTCGTCGCGCAAGTCAGCCAGTAATTCTTTTAGGCATCCAGCTTCCCGTCCAAGCCATGTCATTGTGGGACTTCATCGTTGTTGGCGGTGGTCTTGCCGGCTCCGTCATATCCAACCGGCTTCTCCACAAAGATCCGACACTCAAGATCCTGCTGGTTGAAGCCGGGCCCAATGTCAACGGTCTCGAGTCGATCGCGTACCCAAACACCAGTACCGGTGCCGGAAGCGACATTGACTGGGCTTACATGTCAGTTCCGCAAGCCAACGTAGACAACAGGTCGGTCGCTGCTCCCGCTGGCAAGGCCCTCGGTGGAGGGACGGCCATCAATGGAGGTAAGTCACGCTTGTTGCCCAATCTTACAACACATGTCATTGAACATCACTCGTCTTAGCTGCCTGGGTCCGCGGCCATACTGTCGACTACGATCTCTGGGCCGAAGAGGTTGGTGACGATCGCTGGAGCTACGAGGGCCAGCTCCCCTATATGAAGCTGACGGAGAAGTTCTTCGACGCCAGCATCAACCCTTCCCAGCATGGTGAGAACGGTTCCATGATCATCCAGGGCGTCACGCCCATGAACCGGCACTTCCCCATGCGAGAGAAGCTGGCCGAGTCCCTCGAAGCTCTCGGTGTCTCAGCACTGCCCCAGCTCGACGCGAACGCCGGAAACCCCATCGGCTACGGAGACCTCCAGGAGAACCGCAACCAAGGGCGCAGGCAGCTCTCCTCGGAGGCCTTCCCTCTGGACGGTGTCACCGTCATCACCAACACTATGGTCGAGAACATTCTCATATCCAAGAGTCCCAACAGCACCGCCGTCACAGCCACAGGCATCCGCCTGCAAAACGGAACAGAATACCACAGCCGGAAGACAATCCTCTCCGCCGGCGCCTACCGCACACCACAACTCCTCATGCTCTCAGGCATCGGACCCGCCAACGTCTTAACGGAGCACGGCATCGAGGTGAAGCTCGACCAACCCGAGGTCGGCCAGAACATGCACGACCACATCCTCATGCCCACGGCGTGGAAGGTCAAGAACCCCTCCGAAGGCTGGGCTTACGAGTCGGACAACCCGCTCTTCAAAGAACCGCAGTACGGCCTCGGCAACAAGATCGACTTCCTCGCTACCGTCACCCTGCCAAAGGAAGGCCTCGCGGCCGCCATCGCCGAGGACGAGGGCGGCGTCGCCCCGGGTCCGGAGCACCCGCTCCTCCGCCAGGACCGCGCGCACGTCTCACACACGCTGCAGTACAACGGCGCTTCGACGGATGGCTCCGCTGTTCTTATGCTGTCCATCGTCCTGATCGATACCTCGCGGGGCTCGGTGGGTATCTCATCGGCCAACGTCAGCGACCCGTCCGTCATCGACCCGAACTACCTCAGTACGGCAGTGGACAGGTACGCCGTGCGGGAAGCTCTCAAGTTTGATACCAAGCTTCTTGGAAGCGATCTGACGCCCGTCGGTCGCGAGATCCTCGACGGCGAGCTCACGGCCGACACGCCTCTGACAGTGGATTCTTCTGACGAGGCTTTTGCTGCGCGTGCCCGACAAGTTGCAGGGTAAGTTCTCGAGATCCCCCCTAAATGACAAGACTCTCCATGGCCAGCAGCTAGGAAGACTGGACTGACACTTAAAACACAGATCATGCTTCCATCCCAGCGGAACGGCGTCCATGGGCAAGGTTGTCAACACCGACCTCAGTGTCAAGGGCGTTGACGGGCTATTTGTCGCCGACTCCTCTATCTTCCCGGTCTCCATCTCGGCTAATCTACAAGTGGCCATGTACGCCATGGCGCTCCAGGCTGCGGACATTATTGGGGAGCACGGGAGCAAGTGTCGTCGGGTCAGGACCACTTTGTAGTAAGGTGTTTGTGATGACAATACGGTGTTCGAGATAACACGATAATTAACTCTTAATAACCTTGTGTTCGAAATGCAAAGCCTAGCCCTTGGCCTCAGGTTTTGAGTTTGAGCACCATCTCATACTGTCCAGCGCCTCGATGTTCAGCTCAGAAAAGCATTTCAACACTTGGAGTCTGATGAACATAGTGGTGTTTGTATTGTATACCAATATTTCAAGCAACAGCCGATCTGGTTGCAAGACAGACTACATCGTCCCGATTCAATGTGTAAATGGAGCGGAGGAACCCACAGTATCTGAATGCCCAAAGTCTCGGGTAGTTGTGAACGTTCGTTTCGCCGTGTCTATATTTGGTACTTCCTCTCAGCTTCCCGCTTGTGTTACAAAATATCTGGTTTCCTCCGTAGCCTGTCCAATTTCTGTTGTCTAACGCGAACTCCGTCGCTGTGTAAGAGGGTTCTCAGCAAACGGATCGAACCCTGCATGTTTCCGGGGTGGTATCTCTAGATGTCTTAACAGATACACTCCTCTCACTCGTTAAGATACCAACCTAACCACAATCTCTACCCTTCTCGTGGCTAACCAAGCACGACCGGAAAGAGGGAAGGTGTCCCGAGAGAGGAACAATGATAGCCTTGCGCCGCAACTGGTAGAATCAACATTGGAGTTCACGGAGCCCTCTTGAAAGCTAGAACCAAGCTTGAGATTGGAGAATTTCAACTCCTCAATTCTCAAGTGCAGAAAACGTAAAGAACTGCGCAACCCTCGACGACCCCCCCGCACGACAATCCGTCCCGAACTCGCATCGGCACGCCCCCCGGCCGCTTCAAGCCGAAGACGGGACGGAGAAGGCACTGAGGAGGTAAGTTACACTCCCAATCCAGAACCCGACACTTCCCCGCAGTGGCAAGTTTCCCCGCCATCAAGCGACCGCGCACTGACCACAAAAGCTAGTGTCCTATATGTGCTGCCAAGTTTCCTTTCCTCATCAACCAGGCCTGCTGGCGAAATGGCATCGCGTCACATTTCGGCTCCTTAGTCTCTCTGTGAAGATTGTAGGTTCGATCCCTACGTAGGTCGGTCTAATCTTTTGCCTTTTCCACCAGTAAGCCTACGTCTCTGGTTTTCTTGGTTTTCTTTTTGATTCTCTAGGATTTCGTCGGACATATGCAGTCACTTTTGTAAATCACAACAATAATTTGCTGCTTAGTGTCATTTCTACTTTTCCACTGTCCGTCTGTTCCACCGAGTTGCACCGTCAGCAATCTCGCTGCACCGTCACAAGCCGTCCGTCTGTCCAACGCCTTACAGTGACGATAACGCCCTACTGCGACAACCTGGGCCCGTGTCCACCCGCCGCCAGCTGCAACGAACTTCAGGGTCCAAGCTCCGTCAGCCAATCATTTTTCTCGGATAACCTACCTCTGGGCCTCTTGGGGTCCTGTCTTTCCCCCAAATCCCACCGATCTCGGGAGCTCACCCGACGATAGCCCATCCTATCCGTTTCTGCTATCAAAAAAAACCACCAAACCCAATCCAAATCCCACGAGAACCCTCACTCACACCGCAATCACCTTGCCCCCCTCCCCCCAAAACCGCCGTACCACCAGCGTTCGTCGGCACCGCTCCCGCCTTCTTGGTCGCGTGGCATTGCATTGCATTCGGTTTTACCCCTCACTTGTGCCCATTGGGACATATTTACCCTGGAGGAGAGCTCTCAATTGCCGGAGACAGACAAAGAAAGCTTCGCGACGATCCCCCGTTGCTTCTCAAATCGCTTCACCACCAAAGCACACCTAGAACCTCACGCCCGATATGTCGGCCTCCCTCCCCGGCAGCCGCGAGCTGCCCGCCTCGCAGTATGATCTCAGCACATACATGGGCCGCGTACGGCACAACCTGGGCCTCACCGACCCGAGGTACGTCCAAATCCCCAGACCCTCCCAGTCGCGCATCGCATCGCATCGTCACGATCATGACTATTTTGCGCGCGTTTGTCCTGACACCAGCACCACCCAAGCCTCCTTCCTCTACCCTCACCAATACCTCTCCCACCATAGAACCAAGACAATCTACTGACATGTCTCGCCAAACAACAGCACCCTCCTCGTCGGCAGCACAGGTCTCGAGCAAGCAAAGTCCCTCCTCACCGACTACAAGCAGGGCAAGATTCCGACAATGACCCCCGAGCTCTGGCAGGCCAAAAAGGTCGTCGACTCGACCCTCCACCCAGGTGCGACGAGCCCATGAGAACAAAACACACTGCCTCTTGCGACAAAGGGCTCGTTGCTTGTTTGCTTCTTCTTCCCCGGTGACTAACACGCGGCGCACTCGCGCACCTCACCCCGTGTAGATACCGCCGAACCCGTCTTCCTCCCCTTCCGCATGTCCGCCTTCGTCCTGACCAACTTGGTCGTCACAGCTGGCATGCTCCAGCCCGGCCTCGGAGTGAGTTAAGCCACAAGAATAAGGAAGGAAAGGAAATTACAGTCCTAACACAAGTTCGACGAATAGACAGCAGGCACAATCGCATGGCAAGTCGTGAACCAGTCCCTCAACGTAGCCATCAACTCGGCAAACGCAAACAAGTCCTCCCCGCTATCCTGGCGCAAGCTCGGCGAGTCCTACGCCATGGCCGTCTCCGTCTCCTGCGGTGTCGCCGTCGGCCTCAACAAGCTCGTGCCCCGGCTCAAGAACCTCACCCCCGCGACCCGCACGACGCTCACCCGCCTCGTCCCCTTCGCCGCCGTCGCCACGGCCGGCTTCCTCAACGTCCTCCTCATGCGCGGCGAGGAAATGCGCAAGGGCATCGACGTCTTCCCCGTCGTTGCGGAGAAGACGCAGGCCGCCGAGACCAAGGAACAAGCTGTTGAAAGCGCCGCTGCCGGTAGCCAACAGCCCCAATCCCTAGGCCGCAGCAAAAAGGCAGCCCAAATCGCCGTCGGCGAGACCGCCTGCTCCCGCGTCTTCAACTCCACGCCCATCATGGTCATCCCCCCTCTCGTCCTCGTCCGCCTGCAGGCCCAGCAGTGGCTCAAGCAGCGGCCCCGCCTCACCGTGCCCGTCAACCTCGGCCTTATCCTCGTGACCAGCTACGCCGTCCTCCCGCTCGCCCTCGCCGTGTTCCCTCAGAGACAGAGCATTAGCGCGGACAAGCTCGAGCCCGAGTTCCACGGACGCGGTGGCCAGGACGGTCTCGTTGTGTTCAACAGGGGTATCTAGATATCTCTATATACTCTCTCTTGCATTTTTTTCGTTTGCTATTATACCGAAGCTGGAAGCTGGAATATAAAAGGCATTACATAGCGAGTTTGCATCAAGCGCAGGAAGTTCAAAGCAAGATATGAACGGCAGCGGGGACATAAACGAAACGCGGATGTTTTGTGAAGGTTCTCGTCGCCTAGGCGATGCGATCGCAGGCAAGTCCTGCCGAAGCAGCCCTTTCTGCCTACCTTACCCCCGTGACACCGTCTATCTGCCCTGACAGGTCTGTCGCAATCGCATCCGTCAGTAAGGGGGGGGGGCAAAGGACTCAAAGAAGAAGGGGGATGTTCTTCGTCTAACCCCTCCCCCGGACGAGCGTAATATGGGATAGAGAACCCGGTATCAGATCGGACGTTGAAAGTGTTTCACGCGGCCACAAAGTCATTCTTGGCAAACGCCGCCGGTCATGTTCCCCGTCCAACAATTTTCTGAACCGTGGAAATGGGTAGTAGGAACCAAGGCATCAATCGTATTATGGCCGTGGCTAGTGGTTTATATTCCATACATACATAGCCTGCGGAAATCTGCATCCAGAGGCATGTTTAGGGGAGGAACGCGTAGGACTTGCTTGTAGCCAGATGGACAAGTTGTCCGCAATTGAAACAAGACCTTTAGATACGTGACAAGAAACCCCTTGCGATATTCAAGTCAGACTACATTAGCACATTTGTTGGAACAAAAGTATGCTAAAATGTAGAGAGCGTGCGAGGCGTTAGATCAGTGTGAGTAGAGCATCGCATTTCTCGACAATGTCCCCCACCACAACGTATACTCGTTGTACGACCATGACGACAAGCGGCAGCCAAACCCACCGGCTTGAACAAAGTATTTCAGACCACGCCGCTTGTATGCTTGTGTGCATATGTGTGCCTCGACGGGCACGACGACGACACCACCACCTCGACAATTAGAGGACGGGACAATTACGAACTTGGCTTAGAATCGCCACCAGCGGAGACCAAAGGAGGGGTGGGATGACGGGTCAGCGGGGTCGCTTACTTACATCTTATCGAGGCTGGCTCAGGCTCCAAGTATATCAAGACAGTCAGTCCCGTTAATTATAGTCTATCGAGGACGGCACATGTCAACATCTGAGAGCTTATACAGTTGCTCTTGTAGTATGATAAGGATGAGGTTTGGAAATCATAGAAATCCCCTTATGCTGGAAGCAGGCGTGAATCAGCATATCAACAACTACTGTGTCCCTTTCCATTAGTTTGTTTTCTGGCCCCGACGACTAGGTGCCAGGTCAATCTGACTCCCTTGAGCTGGCGGAATCCGTCAACGTCTGCCTCATTGTTTTTAGAATGAGAGAGAACGTGGAGGATAGTGCGAGACTTCGAGGTTTCCTCAAGCCGACCTCTTGTGTTGTACTTAATGTTTTCTCCGCGAGCCCGCCAGGAAAGCCGTCTGCAGCCCCCTGGTGACATTTCGTCCCCCGATTACGTGCATGCAAAGGGGGAGACGAGCGTACCTGCGACGCAAGCACGGATCATAGGCTCTGGGAAGAAGGAAAAAGAAAGCTCAGTGGCCCGGCGGCATGTTTGCGTTCAAGGAACTGAAACTTTCCAGCCGTCAGTGGTGGCAGATGGCAGCAGCACGCTCTGGCTGGGATAATGCATGGTTTGAGAGCATCGAGACGGAGAGAAAAGTCGCAATTTGCTATTCAGCTCGGGTGCAGATGCTTGTCTGCTCATGCTGGCACGATTGAGCCATCACCCGGCATCGCTTGTCTTGACAGGAGGGCCGGACAACCCCCCATCAAAACGTTGAATGATCTTAATGAGGGGGAAATATAGGCTGCTTGTTCTGGGCCTCTCATCACCAATGTTTCGCGGCGAGGCACACCTTCTGGGCTTATGCTTGTCTAGTCTCGGTTGCCACGGGCTCAGTATCCTGGAGTCATGCAGGCACTTTACGCCACGTACCAGACAGGTACACCGCGAAGACACCATGCGCGGATGTTGTTGCGATAGGGTGTCGATTTCCTCTCGAAAGTCTCTCGAAGCCGTCGAGTGATGGTTGTGACAACGATTGACAAACGCCATGCGACACGGATCGTGATTTTCGAATCCAATTCTACAATACAGAATTCTGCAGCGGTGTGAAGAACGACAAACCCGCGACCGATCGAGTATGATGGAGCTGCGTGAGCCTTGACTCTTGAGGTGCAGTCGTGTTTGCAGGCATGATGTTGGTCGGAGAGAGGGGCCGGTGACAACACAGATTTCCCTCTGTCCGCTCCGCCTTGCCCTGCTCTATGCTGAGAATCTGGTCTCCCAGTGAATTTCAAGAGCTTCACAAGCCTCCTGCATCTTTACGCTCAAGTTCAGGGTATTCCTCGCTGCCTCCGAGCCTCCTCACAAGCGTCGTGACGGCTGCGACCCTTTGCCTCTTCTCCCCACCGCGTTAAGAACTGCACCCATGGTTGGTCGATGACAACAGAAGGTGCTGCTCCCCCAAAGCCCCATTGGCGCATCTTTGGACGGGAAGCAGGGATGTAGACACTAGGAAGTGCTTGGAGATTCGCAGGTGGTTGTGCTGCCAGTGTGCACTGTTGGGTTGCCATAGAGGAGATGGTGGGATCAGATCAAAAGCAGCCGTATCCATAGGGATGTCAAGCAAAAAGGCGGCCAGTGCTGGCTGGCTAAATGAGTAGGTCAAACGCTTCCATTTCCGTGGCTCCATGCTGAGGAGTCTGTTGTCTTTCCTTCACTGTGCATCTTGGTACGGATCATTTGTTTCCATTAGCTTTTTCGGCGCGATCAGATCTTGGGCGACTGCGTGGAATGTGTGGATCATGCTTTTGGGCCGTGTTTGGACTGATGCTCAACGCCGCCAACCGCCAGTCGGCGGCGGTGACTAGGTTGCTGAAGTTTCTGGTGCCATGCCATGAGGTAATGCAGTGTTGAAGAGGTAAGAACAAGCAGAGTGATTGTACATAGATGCGAACGAGGAGGCGACCAGAACTACCAAAACAACCGGTCAAGGCGAGACGAAGTAAAGTTTAAAGCCGGTATCAGGACCCATTTAGGGGACTCATCCGGTCTGCAGTATTGGATCCTTCTGACGTATTGCAGCAGCCAAAGAGCATGGGATTTCGGAGCAATCCAGTGTGTTGATGACCAGGCATCGCTTCCTCGAATTAAAGTAGACTGTGCAGGGCTCTCTTTTTGTCAGCACGGAGCCCCGATATGTCAGGCTGCCGTTGCGTGCTGGTTTGCCCTGCCGTGGAGCGGTAGCACTGGGGCTGGTTGGCGGGGACTGGCTCCATTCATCCAACCTTTTCGTTTGTCCATCCATCGTGAAGGCGGCTGGTGTTGAGGTGTGCGTGTGTGCGCTCCGTATGGATGGTCAGACCAAGCCGGTCCAGTCCAGTCCAGTCGCGGCCATTCCAGGCTACTAGAAATGGTAGCTCAGGTGTGTGATATTATTCACACAAGTGTCTGTACTGGTTAGAAGCAGCGATCGAGTACAACGCAACTGCTAGAGAAAAGAGTACCGGTATGGGCGGGCTGGACACGACTATTTTGTGATGGAGTGACAGAGTGACGGAGCGGCAGCGGCAACGGCAGCCCATCACTCGCTGTGCAACGACGTGACTTTGAAAGAGGCGACTTGCCCAGGCCGGCGGGACGCTAAACCCGTCTGGAAGATTGTCGTGGAGGCAGATTGGCGGGCAGCAAAGTTGGGGTGGAGGGCGGACTCCAGAGCGACCCGCCAAGTGCGTAAAGTGGGTGAGAGGAGGAGCGAGAAGGGTGAAGCGTAAAGCGTGAAGCCGTCGGCGGCCACTGGATTGGCGTGTCTTTGATTTTGTGAGCGTGACAAGTCAAGCCTTGGGCGAAGTCATCGGGCGTGGGTTCCTTGGGCGCACAACCACAAGGGTACAATGCTGTATTCGTGCATTTCGGGATGATACCGGTACATGGCCGTTGCCGTATGTCTGGTCATTCTCTTGGGGATGAGAATGGAAAGAACAAGTGATGAAAGCAGTTGGGCGTGAAGACGTATAGATAATCAGACTACCTAGGCATCGACAGAGTCTTGAATGCCGCAAGATTCTACCCATGCCGCAATCCCGGTTGTTCAGATGTGGTTGAGGGACTCGAGGGCTTGTCGGTGGTGTGTTCTCTGTCTAGAAAGGGAAAGAGCCAGCGGAAGCCGTCCGGTAGGAACTTGGAGAGAGAGAGGAGGATACAACTGTGTTGGGTGGGGTTGCGTCTGTATCGAAGAGAGGGCAACTGAATGACTTTGTTGGAAAATGGTGCGGCGTATCAAGAGTCCAAGACTGCATTGTGTGTAAGGTATCCGTAAGGTAGGCAAGAATGTGGGAGCCATACTCGGTACGACGATGACAGTCTAAAGACGCTAGAATGCGGCCAGACGGACAGTCCCATTCACGCCATTGAAGCACCGCTTGAGAAGTAGCGTCCTTCCTTCGTGGCTCCTTCCGTCCTTCTACGCAGCAAGGTACGGAGTACAGCATTATCGCTGGTTTCTAAGGCATCTTACGGTAAACTAGGTAAGGTAGACTGTAGGCGGGCAGGTGTACTTTGGGTTTACTCCTGCCGCTCTCGTTCTTGCCTCGCCAGAAATGGCGGGGCATTCGTCCTTTCTTCCTCCCAAGACACATACTTCGCATGCCTTCCTATCCTGTACGGAGTACCTGCCTGGAGTTTTCGACATGGCATTTGTCTCACGACTTACTTAAGGCACCTCACTTCGGTTTAGGATACTTGGATACGATTCAAGCAGACGAGGAAATGAAACCTACAAAGAAGCCGGAAACCACTCGCAATGTCGAACCGCCAAACCCCCCCCCCCCCGAAATAAAGTACGGGGCCCTGGAAATATGGTGTGCGTCAAGACCGAATTGCCCTGTACCTCACATCGGTGACAAGCCCCTTGTTCCTGCCGGATGTACAGTAGGCGAGAGGCTAAAAGCACGGAAGCACCTGCAAGTTGCAGCCCACCCAAGTACCTTCCGTCTCGTCGTCCTGCCTGAATCGAAGCAGCAAGCCCGAGATTCCCTTCCGAAGGGGAGCCATATGCTCAAAACACTGTCCCTCGCTACGTTACGGTCGATGATCCAGCGGGCACAGATTAACAACCTGGAACACGCCCTATCTCGCTTGATAAGGAACAATATTCCATACCCCAACATGGAAAGACTCGTGCCACAAAGTAATACCCTATCCTCGCTTTCGGCCTTGCCACATTACCGCAAGTGCAGACACCTCATCCTGATTCTACTCTCATCACCGCCAGGTTCCTGTTCCTCCAAATCTGCCCTAGAGACGGCCTCAGGGCTCTGGCACATGTCGGATTAGGCAGATTCAGTGCTGCACCGCAGGGAACTGCTTCCGCTGCGGCGAGGACGTTCGGGGTGATGCTAAGTGGGCGCTTGCGATAAGATACTTGCGTCATGGCACCAGTCTGCAGTCGTTGTCAAGTACCTGCTTTGGTCAATCCGAAGCTAAGGTACATGCGCCATCTGACAGAGGCGCGCAAGCAGGCGTGGCAAAGCACAGTCTCCAAGTACCTCCATCATGCGCTTCGCCCCGGCTCCACTCTCCCAATCCTCCCGATATACATGTACGAATCCAGACGCTGAGGCGGAAACTTTGTACCTCTAGAAGGCACGAAGGGTAAACAGGTTGATATCCCACCTCAAGCCCAGAGAATAGAGAATAAGTTGGTCTGGATGTTCTTGAGCCATTTGGGAAGAGGCAAGGGATGCGGCGAGGTTTATCACTGTTTCTACCTTGGCAGGGACGAACAAAACTTTGATGGCGAGAGACCAAATACCCGACACCCGCCGCAGCTCTGTTAAATAGTGACCGGCTTGATTTATTATGCTTCCCGGTGCACATCAGCCTTAGGTTCCCTCCATGCCCTGTCTGGAATCAGTGGTCCCTTGATTGTCCCGTCCTGGACTCGACTCGACGCGCGAGAAAGCGACTGGAACCAGTCCGTCTTGCCGCCTTCTGCCTTGGCTCCAAGTGGGCTTAACTGGAGACTGGAGACGGTGTTGGAACCATGAGCAAAACTCCTCCTCTCTACTATCCAACTTGTCAATTTTCCATTACCCGAGGTGGACGGAGAAAAGAGTCGAGAGAGTAAAGCCAAATGAAAAGGCAACCAGTTCCTCGTCTCACTGCGTGGTAGGCACTTTCCATGGCTGGGTACGTACCTCACCTGAGCAGAAGTAGCCGAAATGCGCGAGCCAGCCGCCAGACTACCTGCCTTTGGTCAAAGGTACTTCTGCCTGTGTGTGTCTGATAGCGTAGCCACAAGTATCCCACATCGGAGATTCTTAACCAACGTAACCTTCCATCTTCCCCATCTCGTCTCTTCCGCCGCCTGTCGTCCCCCATCCACTTTGGCTGCTTCCATTTCCGCTCCCACACGCGCACTCGTTCGCACGCACGCACGCACGCTACCAAAGTCACCAAAGTACACGCCCATACGCCCACCTCAGTCAGTCCCGTCACCCACACCCACCTCAAATCATCAGGTTCATTCATTCCCCTTGGCTTCATTGCCCGCGTCCGGGACTCCAAAGTCACAGTGTGTCCACCACCAAGCTGCCCTCGTCCTGTCTTGTCCTTTCGTGCTCGTCCCTCCGGTTGTCGATTCTCCACAATTGGTCGCCTCCTCCCGTCAGGGCCCTCCACTTGCTCACCTCACCAACTGCTCCCCACGGACCAAGAGTGAAGCGGCCGGTCATCCCTCGGAACTTCGTCACTTTTTTTTTTTTGGACCATAACGTCCAGTCCATCCACCGTGGGCGCTCTAGAGTCTGCACAGCGACCAGCGGGCTTGTTTTTTTTCCCAGCTCTCTCCCCATCATTATCATCATCAGCAGTCAACCCTGCCGCTATTGTTGATTTTCCTCCGACTTTCTTGCTTCTTCCATCATTCCTAACAAGAACCTCATACTCTCCACAAACCAAAGAAACTCGCGTCGCGTCATAGCCTCTTCGATGTAGCAAAAAAGGGTTTCCAACGGATACAGCACAGAACAGTACACGCATACGCCTACCGCAGTACCTACCATACCCGTACCGTCCGTCCTGTCATCAAACGAATCCTCGACGACCCCCGTCCACCTCGTACGCTGTACCCGTACCAGCCACACTTTGCGCACGACTCGGGAAATCTAGGCCGGAGACCCTGTGGTCCCTCTTCAAGGTTGGCTAGCGGTATCCGTACCGCAGCAGCAACAAGCCGCCCGTGGCAGAGCCCAGAGGCAAAGACCGCAAAAGCTGTTTTTACCCACTCACGTCGTCAATCTACAGCCCACTCCCAGACACCACCAGTCCACCACTGGCACCAGCAACCAGGATTCAAGGGCCGCGCACAGCACACAGCGCACACTCTTTACTGAGGGAACGCTGAAAGCCGACAACACTGGGCTTGCACTCTGTTTTCCCTCGCTCACTCCCTCTGTTTTTCACGCTCTCTCTCTCCTCCTTCCCAGGGCTGGATCGATCACGGATACCTTGGGACTAACCCCGAACTCCACTGTTTGGATTTGGGAACCCTCCACCCTCCATCATCCCCCCTCCCCCCAAAAACCAAAGTACAGCCGGGCACGTATTCAGTACAGTACAGACAGTACTACGTACCCAGCAGCACTACCAGCACCCACCTCAGCGCTCAGCGCCCAGCACACCGGCACAGCGAAGGCCTGCGAAACCTCCTTCCTTCCGCCTTCCCTCCATCATCGAACCTTCCTTCCTCGCCCTCACCCTCCGCCCTCGCTCTGCTTCTCTGTCTCCAAAGGTGATTTTCTCGACACCGGCAAGACAAGAGGAAAATCATGTCGACTCCCACAACGGCCACAGCGACATTGCCTCCTCACTCGCATTACCATCATCCCCATTATCCCTATTCACATCAGCCGTACCAGGCCTCTACTGCCACCGGCTCTTCGTACCGACAGCCAGCGAACCCAATCCTCTCTACTTCCTCATCCACAGCGACGACGAGATTGCCCCCAGCATACGCCAACTCGTCGAGCATCGCCTATTCTGCCACTTCTACTGCGAGCCACGCCGGTCCAAATGGCCTAGGCCCTTCAGCCTCGTCAGCCAGTTCGAGGACCATTCACGACGTCTCGAGTCCCGACGCGAACTACTCGCTCACCAACTCCACCATGCCTGCCACCAGCTCACTCTCCCAGTCATCTCAGTCCGCTCGCAAGCGAAGACGATCAAAGGAGCCTGACTGGAACAAATTTTACAAAAACGGCCTGCCCAAGGAAATCATCGTCATCGATGATACCCCAGAGCCAGAGCAGGGCAAAGCCGTCGGCAACGGCGTAAGGGTCGTCTCCAACGGTAACGGCAGCGTGAACGGCGCCACCACAAATGGTACCAGCAGCCGACCTGTTCCCAAGAAGAGGAAAAGAGACGACGAGCCTCAGCCCTACGATCCCGTCTATCACAACAAGTACGCCGGTTCTCACACCACCACTCCTCATCACAACGGCACCCCCAGCGGATCGACCATATCAACCGACCGCACTACAAACTCCGCCATCCATACCACCGCTGCCACGTCCCTCTCTTCAAATGGACACGAGTACTACGATGCTCAGCCTGGTCAGAAGCGAAAGAGGACCCGCCAACAAATTGCTCAAGAAGCAAAGAAGAGAGAGGTGGAAGGCCTCGGCGACCCATTCCTCACCTACAAGCCGCCTCCTTACCCTCCCAAGAAAGCGCCCGACGTTCACGTTCGGTTGGTCCAGGATGTAAGTATCACCGTCTCGTCGTAAAACATCTTTTAAATTCATTTGCTAATGTTTTTCCCAGCAGGGTTACAACAAGAATGCCAAAGTCGACGATGATGATGGGCACTACATTGTTGTTCCTGACGCCGACCTTACGGATAAGTGTATGTTGAGCACACTCATTTCATCAAACATAAGTCGCTAATCTTCAATGCAGACCAGATGGTGAAGCTACTCGGGCAAGGGACATTTGGCAAAGTCGTCCAGGCTCGAGACCGTAAGAGGAACAAGTCCGTTGCCATCAAGATTATCCGATCTGTGCAGAAATATCGAGATGCCTCGCGAATAGAACTCCGAGTTCTCGCAACACTCAAGGCCAACGATGACGAAAACCGCAATCGCTGTATCCACCTCAGGGACTGTTTCGACTACCGCGGCCACATTTGCATCGTCATGGACCTTCTTGGCCAAAGCGTCTTTGATTTCCTCAAAAGCAACAGCTTCGTCCCCTTCCCCAACAGCCAGATTCAGAGCTTTGCTCGACAGCTCTTCACCAGCGTTGCCTGTAAGTCTACCATTATCTTCCCAACTTGGTCTTCTACTAATAGACTGCAGTCTTGCACGATCTCAACCTCATCCACACCGATTTGAAGCCTGAGAACATTCTTTTGTGCGACAGCGCCTACCAGACCTTTACCTACAACCGAAAGATACCCTCTTCGTCTACGACCGTCAATCGACAGGCCAATCAGCGCAGAGTCCTACTCGACACAGAAATCCGCTTGATTGATTTCGGTAGTGCTACTTTCCAGGACGAATACCACAGCTCCGTTGTCAGCACTCGTCACTACCGAGCGCCAGAAATCATTTTGGGACTTGGGTGGTCATTCCCCTGCGACATTTGGAGCATAGGATGCATATTAGTCGAATTTTTCACCGGCGATGCCTTGTTCCAAACACACGACAACCTCGAGCACCTCGCAATGATGGAGATGGTTGTCGGGCAAAGGATAGACTCCAGCCTCGTTCAAGCTGTAAACAAGATGGCTACTAGAAGTGGTGGAAACCCTGCCTCGAAGTGAGTGATTGATGGCCCAGTTGAGGAAGGGAATTGCTGACTGATGCCTGTGCAGATACTTCAAGCGCTTGAAACTTGACTATCCTACTCCCGAGACAACACGAGCGTCCAAGAGATTCGTCAAGGCTATGAGACGATTGGAGGTATGCAAACTAGGCTCTCAGGATTGTAAAATATGGCCCACTCATGATTTGTAGGACATCATCCCGTCGAACTCGACCTACTTCAAGAACTTCCTGGATCTCCTTCGGAAGATCTTTGTCTACGATCCCCAACACCGCATTACAGCGAAGCAGGCATTGCAACATCCTTGGTTCAAGGAACCAGCGACACCGGACGATGGTACAGAAGCGGCCAAGATCCGTCTGGAGCGAATGAGACAGGAGCAGGATCACCGATACCACGCATGATTCCTAGCTTACGAAGCTGTTTTCAAACCCTTACGTCTATAACGAACAAAGTCGAGCATGATATGGGAGTTGGGCCGTTTGATATCTGGTCTGTACGATGGGGGCCGACGGAATTGGAAGGGCATGGCGCTCGTGCAACTTGATTTTTTTTCCGACATGGGCCTCATCAAAGGTCAGCCATGTTCTGCCCTTTAATAGCAGAAGGCTTGATGGCATGTGGGGGGTTTTTTTTGGGTTGTGTTTCGCGGGATAAGGGTCAAACTCGCGCAGCAACACGAGACAGTAGCACGAACGATCAAGCCACGCCCTGGACAGCGTTGCTAGTAGAGACGTTTCGATGAGAGAGAGATGTCGTGCCTTGTCGCCAGGCTCAATAGAGCGATTCTCATGACCGCCGCAAGCCTCCTCGGCTTGCCAACCACTTCTTCAGTCTTCTGGAGTGACCACTGATCGATGCTTTCAATTTTTTATATTTTTCGAAACCACGACTGATTTGAGTAGAATGTTGCAACATCACAGGATCTAGGAACTTGACTATCTACAGCAAAACCGTCTGGTAAGTCGTTCCCAGCATGGAAGCCGCTTTGATTGAGTATGTCGCTTACATCAGCTCCTTTTCAGTTTTAGGTTCGATTAAATGTTGCGTCTGTTTCCATCGCTACTCACGAGTCACGAATGGATGGTTGCCGCCACGCGAATCGAGCCAACGCTGGGGACTTCTCCACACGTGATCAACTGCAGGTGCGGCAATAATTCCTAACCTTCCGTTGTCCGTGGTTTCATTGGTCGGAATCGATGCAGATGTGACCGTAGCCGCGGCCTGGACCATTTTGCCCTTCTTTCTCAGATTGGCGAACGACGGCGACAACCCCACGTAAAAGGAGAACCTACGCACTTGTTCTACGATTCAGACTTGAGGGAGATTTTAACAAAGCTGGACAATGTCTCTCTCTTTGTTTGTCACAGCCCAACGCTGCTCTCCCGCGCCAAAGTTACCTATGTCTTTTGCATTGTGTCGCCTAAACCCAAAGGATCACCTTGTTGTCCTTGGTCAAGCAAGTCATGGTTCAAAGGCATTGTCAACTTCGAGATTCTTCGGTATCGATGTAGCTATTCCATCGTCGGCGGGTATAGAAAGACTGCCCGCTGCTGCTCTCGGATTGCTTTTAGCGAACAGTAAACAGCAAACAGCCTCAAGATTAGCGATATCTATATCAAAACTTCTACAGATTCACCCGCAGATTTCACATCAGCTTATCACTATGTCCAGCCCGTATCAAAGTATACACGATTTAACAAATGGATCGGTGAGGAAGTTGGTCCGATACCTTTACCTCCCGGTGGAGCACAGCATTGCGAAACCCCCAAAAAGTTGGCTCAAGGAGCAAGAGGAAACGATGAAACAACTGCCCGCGGCTTGTCTCCGTCCACGAAGCAAGATCAACGTAGTCAGCGTTGTTACTCGCGGTCTAATGAAGATTAGCGAGAAGTACAACTTTTCGTTCACACCGCCGGCCGCAGTCCTCTGCCCAAGCCATCGTGGCCTGAATCCTTGGACAATTCACGCCCTTTTTGCACTGGTTCTGAAAGAGATCACTGTGGAAACAGCCAGCTTACGACATGACCGACAACGCGATAGAGGTCCGGAATTCACACCGTTAATACACGAATACGTACATCGTCTAGATGGCATACAGGCCTTGTGGATGGATACGTATAACTTTGAACTCCTCTATGGTCGCCAGCCAAAAGTGCTAAGCCATGTCAACTCACGTTGTGAGGCGTGCATCTCGTCAGCACTCGGATCTCGTCCCTCCTTCCTTGGCGACCTTCGTGCTAATCTCATCGCCCGGACGAAGAAAACATCGCCATGCCTGCAAAGGGTCGTGGACGCATGGATCAACGAGTTCCCTGAGGCTGTGCAAAGAGAAGTCTTCAAGAGAAGCGCAAACTTGGCGGAGGAAATTCGGGCCATGCTCAAAGATGTCAAGGCAGCGCGACACCAGAGACGCGAAGCGAAATTGCACCAAAAGAAAGCCAGGACCTTGGAGAGAACCAACAGTGATACTAGGAAGACCTCTGGACGCGATACTCCGCGATCAACTCCGGGCGAGTCGTCGACCGCGAGTGGACGACCTTCCACGGCAATGAGCGAGGACCCGTTTGCTGACCTAGATGACGAAGACCCCGACACTGATAACCGGCCGTGGCAAGATGCGGTCGGGGACTATTACGAGCGGCTGGCCCGCCAGAACGGAAACGAGGGTGCTTTCGTTCGATCCTCCCTACACCCGGCCTTTGGCGGCCCGGCGCCTCAACCCGATGCCCAATTCCGTCGAGACTTTGGCACAGGAAAAGAGGTGGATCGGAAAGAACAAAGGGCTCTTTGGGATGACGCTGTTGCTAATAGTCCCGCTAGGAGTGAACAGCGTTTACGCGCATCCGACTTTCCCCCGTCGATGATCCAAGACGATGCCCGACGACGTGATCGGTTTCGACATGTAGACTCCGCGGAATCTGAGCCGAGGACGCCTCGACCTGCTATACCTCCCGCCGCTACTCTCGCACCGCCGTTCCATGGGTACGGCACCGCAGCGCCGAGCAGCTCGTCATATACGGACGCTAGCGTGTATTCGAACAGCGAGCCGGCCCGGCCTCACCCCACGACCGAATCGCTCGCTTCCATCGTCACAGCCTGGCCTGAAGTCACGTCTCGCTCGTCTTCCGCCCGTAGACCCCGTGGACCCCGTCCGGGCGGGCTGGTAAGTACTTCCTCCCCCGCACCCCAGAATAACAATGTCGTGACACAGGACCGCCGTCGCGCCACAGATTCGAAATTTACTCCCCCTTATGGGTTCGAGATGTCCCCCACAGAAGCGGCATGGTATCTAGTCGAGGAGGAGAGGGTAGCTCGTCTGGAGGAGATGGGACGTATCGGCCGCCCGAGTTTCAAGGACCACGTTGACTCTGGAGCGGCTGCTGCTGCATCGGAGGCCGGATCACAGTACGAGACTGGGTTCAGAACACCGACGGCGGGCTCCACGCAAGCTGGGACTTGGGCTTCGTCGTCTCGTGATCGGCCTGTGAGAGAGGTGTCGCCCCTGGGTTATGGTGATGATGACGAGGGGCGCAGCGTCGCGACCGTGGAGGGACGGCCGCCTTTGAGTGAGGCGTCAACGATTTATCCTGATGACTCGTATAGTTTTGCTAATTTCCGGCGGCGGTGATGTGGATGAGGTAGGTAGGCGTTTGGTTTAGTTCATAGACTTTTTGCAAACATGGTTTTTTTGTTCAATGGATTCCCATTCTTAGAACAGTTGAAAGCGTAATACATGGCTCGTTCAACACATAATCGCCAGCTCCAAAAGCAAGGCGCGAGAATCACGAACTCGAGAAGTGGACACACGATTTTGATGAACAAGATTTTGAGCTATCTACCGTTGCAGTATTAAAGGTAGCAAGCAAACCAAAGAGATAGAAAAGAAAAAGGCAAAACAAGACCGACACTTGCACATTCTGGGGCTTCCATCTCCGTCCTCTCTCTTCTCTCCTTCATAACCACTCCCTGGCCGAGATGATTCCAATATCCATGGCTATACCCATAGTAACCGTTCACTGCGAGACGATAAATCTCGTGTCCCTGGGACTAGTAAGGTATGGTTCATGGTCGCCAAGTCGCAATTGTATCTGCCCATTTCCGCCGGCACGTCTTCCATGAGATCCTATTGATCCTCCGAAAACATGACTGTCGAAAAAAGCCTGGTGAGAAGAAGAGACCTGTGTTGATCAAGGCATAAAGAAGGTGTGTGTACTCTAACATCCAATTAGGGAAAGGGGTTTTGATGGACGAAGATTGTGAAACAAGACTGGAAGAAAAAGAGCAAACGAGAGGAGCCAGTCAAGAGTTTCTCGGACGCGCGGGGTAATGTGCGAATTGCTGTCAGATGCCGATATGAAGCTGCGATGTGAAGCTGCTAGTTCGGATCGTCGTTGCAAGGCCACGAGACGTCGGTGTCCGAGGCTCTCTTCTTGACTTCGAAACGGGTTGTGTGATAGGGGAAATTCGGGAATTCTTCTTCGCAATCTGTTGAGTTTTGCTCTGCTTCGGTGACTGGTTCCGTCTGTTGCAAATGTCAGCCCAAAGTGTTCTCGTAGAACAAGTTGCTCTTGAATACTTACCTCCAAGCGTGCCATTGTCGATCGAAACAATCGATATCGGGTCTGCGTTCGATCGTGACTAATCTGGTAGAGGCCTCCGATACTTGAGCGCATGAGGCCAAGGTTTCACCTTGCTCAGCAATGCTTAGGCTCCAAAGACGTCGTCGCTGTCATGGCTCCTATCGCCATGATGCTGATCCTTAGGAGCATCGGGGGACTTGGCTCTTCGAGCACCAGGAGAGTGGCGCTTTCCAGGATAGTCGTAGGAGCACTCAGAGTCGTCTGCCACGTAGAATGTTTTGCACGGGATCTTGTTCGCCCAGTGCTGCCAGACTATCTGGTCATACCAATCGGCGCCGTGGGGTTGCTTCACCTTGTAAACCTGGTTCAGACGACCGGCCTTTTCGAACTGGAAAGACGACATGAAGTCGTCCATCCACTTGAGACCCTGTCCGCCCTCGCTCTGGGCCATCGTGTGTACAACAACACCTAGCAAAGCTCATTAGCTGTTAATCTGATATACCTTTCACGTTCGACTACTTACGGTGAATATCCCGGAAGTCGGGCTTGTAGAACGCGTCCTCTCCAGCTTTCGGATCAGCCCACTGGCACTCGACAAAGCCGTGGTACAAGATGGAAACTTGACTGAGGAGCTGATGAAGAAGGGCACTTCCGATCCGACCACGTCGATGCTCAGGATGAACAAAGATTGTAGCCTTGACAGTCGGCGTCGCGTTGCCGGTGAGTCCTCCAATACCTGTCTCGTACGGACGGAGGTAGGCGAATCCGTAGACAGTAGTCTCAGGGGATGGTACCTTTGCAGGCTGAGACTGCATCCACTTCATGTACTGCCGGTAAGCATCGCGAGACGGCCAGTTGCCGGGGTCGGTCAAGTCAGTCGTCTTGGTAGTCGCAACGATGAATGGAAGCTTTTGTCTTTTGCACTCGATCATGATGTACTCGAACCGCTCAACAGACACCGGGTAGGTATCTGTCACCAGGTGATCTTTACCGACAGCCAGGTTGTACATCTCGGCACAAGCTTCGGCATCGGAAGGCTGGGCAGGACGAAGGACGCAGTCTGCAAGACGACTGTTTTCGTCCAAGGTATGCGCCACTGCGGTTCTCATCTTCGTGGGAGTCGCAGCATCTCTCTTGTAGTCACGATCCCGAAGAATGGCCATTTTGTGGTGGGCTCGCTCCTCCTGCTGCAAGCGTTGACGAATGGCGATGTTCTTTCGAACCATGATCTCGCGATTAACGATCAGGTTACTGGTCCATTCGCGACGACGTTGAATCATCTCGGGTGTCATGTCCTTCTCATCCTCAATATTAGCTTTTGTGGGCGGCTGCTCGATGCGATCGATGAGCTTTCCAGTGTCGGTGCTGACATCGTGGTGGTGGTGATCCTGATTCTCGTCGAGGAAGGAAGTGACGAGCGGGCCATCCAGAGTATAAAGCCAAGTTAGAAAAGATGGAGTGCCAGTGGCTTTCATCTCGGACTGAGCGACTTTGTTGAGATCCTCTCTGTCGCGGGCCGATGAAGCTCTGCCATTATTGCTCACATCCCAAGACGAGTGGCTTTTCTTCGACTTGGTAGTGACGCCCATTCTCTCCGGAAGATTCTCTAGAGCCATGGGTGTCAAGGGCGCCGACTTCTTCAGTGTTCCTGAAAGAGAAACGCGCGAGCTAGCATCATCTGTCGAGGACGCGGTATCCGACTCCGCGTAGTAGCTAGTAGTCGTGGCTGGCTCCTGGCTTTCGGTAGCTGGGCCTTCGATCTTGGGCTCGACCTTTGCCCCAGCCTTGACCTTGGCCTTGGTCTTGGCGAGTCTCTTGTGAGGAGGAATGTAGTCGCTCGGCATCGGACTGGTAGAGGCCATCGTATCGTCCTCGTCGTCGTCGGCGTCGGATTGGATCTTCAAACGTTGAGCAGCAATCTTTGCCTCTCTCTGCTTTCGAGTTCGCTCAAAACTTCTTGCAACGTAGGCTCGGCGCTCGGCGAGGTAGTCGTAATCAGCGTTCTCTAGGCCAGCATTGTAAATATCTCCACCGAAGGCTCTGCGGGTGTTGAACTCGAAAGAAATCCGCCGAGCTTCAGGGCTGGAAGTGGGGTCGTTCAAGAAGGCAGGAGGTGTCAGCCTTCTCTGGGGGACCGGAAGATTCATGGCCCATCGAATAGAAGTCGATCTTTTGATCGGCTGTGTGGGCTTCGTATACGGGTTGCTGGAGGAAAGAGCCGCCACCGGTACCTTCCCATTGGCGCTGCTCACAACCATGGCCGGGCTGGGAGGAGAGAATGTGAACCGAGCTGAGCCAGCCTCCTTGGGATACAAGCCGACGGACGACCAAGGATAAGGACTGTCCAATCTGGAAATACCTTCGCCACGATGCTCTTCATCGTGACTATACTGGCTCTTGTTGTCATCAGCTTGCTTCTCATTGATGACAGGTTCTTTAGAGAACTTGAGGCAGAGGCGCTCTCCACGGCTTCCTTCTTCATGGATGGACTGGTTCTCTTTGTTGCCAGTTTGGTTCTTCAAGATGATAGACTCTGCGGGGTTTGACGTGGTGATATCGATACGTTCGAATTTTTCGCGCTTGTTTTCACCATGACGAGACTGGGTTTTGTGTTCACCAATTTGCTCCTCATTGGTGACAGGTTCTTTGTGGACCGAAATGCTGAGATCGAGGTCTTCGCGGTGATCTTTCTCATCATGGCTCAACGGGGTCGCATTCTTACCAGATGGCTTCGCTGGGATGAAAGGCTTTGCGAAAGCTGAGAGTTTGAGACCGGGTGATTTGCCACGATTCTTTCCAACATGGCTGAACTGTATTACGCTTCCGCCAGTCTTCTTGTCTGGGGTAATGACCCCCTTTGAGTTTGGCATCTTGCAATCGGTGCTTGTTTTGACCAAACACAATGAGGCTTGTAGCTGGCTGAACAATGGGGATTAGCAAACTAATCACATTGTGTTTTCTTGTGAATTATTTCCACAGTAAATCAATCTACTCACCTAGTTATTGGTTATGGCAGTGTTGATGTAGAAGCGCAGACACCTCGAAGAGTTTCTGAACGAGGATATGTGGTGAGAGCGCGTCGGATCTGAACCAAGACGACCTGAAGCAAAGGTGAATTTTCTGGTGTCGGCTTGTAAAGATGAAGCAATAGCGGGAAAGTAAGCTGGCTCCTTGGTATTGGTGAAAGGTTCCAGAATCACTTCTGCCAATGAAGAGGATGGACAGTTTGGAGGAAGTGAGAAGCTTTCGGTGCAGCGGTTTGAGAGAGAAAAGGTAGGACTGGGTCAGAGATACTTCGGAGGGAGAAAGTGAAGTAGGTGGGGTGCGCGATAGGAAATGTTTCGAAGGTGAGATTTCTAGGCAAGTCAGAGGAAGGTACAGCGATGCACCGGTTCGGGGTAGGAACGGCCTTCTCCTGGAAGCTCCTTCCCTTTTCCCACTCCATTCTGGACAGACGCGTTTGAACACCCCATTATCATTAAAAGAAATCGGACTCAAGAGACGCTTGAAAACCTGTACCCTTGAACGCGATCCTGCTCATTATAACGTGAGGCAATTGATGATTGATTCTACCTACTCAGTACTGGACCAACAGGGCCAATTTTTTGTCCATGAGACTTCGAGCTCTTCTCATATATATATTAGATTCCTTGCATCATAAATAGACTATTGTTACATCATAGATCATCGTTGTGGCGTGGTGAAAAATACGCAGCATGTGCATTTGGCGATGCAAGTAGTCGATATACTCGGTGTGCTCGGTAAGCTCCACCAGTAATTGCTTCACCGAGCCCAGACCGAGACTGCGGGGTCACGTGTGGTCAATCGATCCATTCAGGCAGCGCCGACGAACCTCTGTCCACTGCACCAGCTCTCATACATGACAAGAAATATGCCGTGATGTGCATTCACCAAACCTTGAGATACTCGAGAAAGAAAACTGTAGTCGATGCACGCCAAGGATAGCATCCCCGTCCCTTCTTCGCCATGTTGTCCATCCTGAGAAAAGCACGTCTCAAAGACAAGGAGATGCGAATCCTGATGTTGTCAGTCTCAGCCACCCACACACTAGCCGATTCCTAGCTCACTGATGATATTTACAGAGGTCTAGATAATGCTGGAAAGACTACAATTGTCAAGAAGATCATGGGCGAAGACGTTAATACAGTAAGCCCGACATTGGGCTTCATCATCAAGACTATAGACTACGACGGGTTCGTTTTGAAATCTCTTCAATCCGTCATCATGCATGTGTGCTAACCGTACATAAGATATAAGCTGAACATTTGTACGTCTTCCGGCTGGTGATGAGTTTTATTGGCGGCAAGTCTGACCAGGATAGGGGACGTGGGCGGGCAAAAGACCCTACGCTCGTACTGGCGGAATTACTTTGAAAAGACAGATGCGTTGATCTGGGTCGTCGATGCCACAGACCGACTGAGGATCGAGGACTGTAGAGAGGAGCTCCACGGCTTGCTGCAAGAAGAGGTTTGTGCTCACAACAACAACGACGATGACACGTGTGAAAGTGGATGCGACCAGGTCGGGGTGCTAACTTTTGATTGACAGCGATTGTCTGGAGCAAGTTTGCTGGTGTTTGCCAACAAGACCGACGTCAACGGATGCATGGACGAGCAGGAAATTCTTCAAGTTGGTGCTCCGTGACAACAACATCTTGAACCGTTACTAGGGAGAATCGAGCTGACGTATTTTATCCAGGGCCTGCAATTGGAGGCCATCAGAACACATCGCTGGCACGTCCTGCGGTGCAGTGCCATGACAGGCAGCAACCTCAAGGAAGGCCTTGCTTGGGTGGTGGACGACGCAAAGAAGAGGCTGTTCCTGTACTAGAAGCAAGTGGGGAGTCAGGCATCCATTTGGTGGTTGATAGCTTTCTTGCCAGGTCACCACTATGACAGTGCGGCTCCTCTCGCTCTCGAGGCTCCGCGAACCATTCGAGGATGTCCTGGTCATGTTTGCTCAGCTAGTTTCCGGGCGCGCCGTTGGGAAACTGGGATGGCTAGGAGAAGGGCGGACGGGCAAAAGGCGGCCGGGTCAAAAGGGGGCATGATGAAGCGTGTCAGAGTGTTCTGGAAGGGCGGCCCCAGGAAAGGTCGGATCCGAGTGGTTCTGTGGCGGCTCGGGAGTCAGGATCGACGTTGTGTAAGGGAGTGACAAGTAAATGGGATACCCAGCGTCGAGAAGTGCGAACCCACGTTTTTGAATAGGAGATCACCACTATCCGTGTTAATAGCATGGCAATATATTCTCTGAGGCTGAGGATGACTGATGCAATGCGTCTACTGTATCCGTATATGCGTGGATGGGGCTCGATTGGTGTGTGGTGCGTGGTGATGTGTGGCCCATTGCGTGAGTACCTTTCTGCTTAAAATCGGGTCGCTGATTGGCCCGAAGATGCCCGAAAAGAAGAAATACGAAATGAGGGGACACTGACGTTAAGCCGCTATCCGTCAACGTCAGCACCACGTTAGATTATCTGTGATATTCCAGTCTTCGGAGCGCCTTGTAGTATGTGCGCGGTGTCTTTTGTCCGGGCTGAACTACCTAAGGCAGTCGGGCTTGGAAGGGAATTGGATTCATTACAGCAGAGTGAGCAGAGAGATTGCAACCGTTGGAGTTGAATACCAGGCCATCCCTCCGGAAATCATGGTTTGAAACGATGTGATTGAAACGCCCCCATCGGGCCAGTAAGGGCGCTTGAACGTCGAAATTTGGTGCAAGGGATCTCAGGTACGAAATATCCGTAAATCCATTGTGAGACAGGGGTTGACGGTGTGGAGAAGCGAGTGGCCAATGCACGTACCTTACCTAGGTACTTGTACGCAACACCACACCTCAGCTACGGTACGTACCCTTGTTGTTTTGGTTCCACTTTCTTTGTGTACATTCAGGCCCTGCAAGTAAGGTAAGGTATTCGCACCTCGATATCTTGTTCGTCTTCATCTTCTCAGGCAGACCAAGTCATATGGCCGCATTGGGGAAGCTTAGCTGAGCTGAGTTGAAACCTTTTGAGCAGCTTGCTGGAATCATGTGAGACATTGGCGCAGAACTTCAACTTGAAGCCCCGCGTATGTGGTAGAAGTTGAGGTGAATGTTGCACAGTTGCACTTTAGAGTCTGTAGGCATATCGAAAGAAATCACTTCAAGAGACCAGCCCAGTCACCCAGCGCCCAGTGCTACCTGACGTGCAGGCTGCTATTGTTGGGGGGGGCCTGTTCACCTGCCCAATTGGCAAGGGCAAAGAAGAAAAAGAGGCAAGCCCAGGCTGCCCAGCTTGGACGCGGGATGCAACTGTTCGCATCAGCACGCAGTAAGCATCCGCAAGGAACCTTCGCAGAAACCTGCTTGCCTTCACATAGGTAGGGTCATTTGTGTTTACTTTCGACCCTGCAATACCTTACTTCAGTCACCAGTAGTAAACACCATTGTCCTCTTTGCATCCCATCCAGACAGAAAGCAGGCCGCGTTCAGAGCTTCCTACTTGCTTACGCCGGCTGCATTTTCCAGGATTGTGGTCCATGCTTCTTAGCCTCAGCCGCCGCCGCCATCACCGCCGCACCAGGGTACCACACGCATTCGACAAGTTTCCAGTACACAACCTACCTTATGGTGAGGTACGAAAGGCAATTCTTCCATCCAAACAACAAAGTCGCCAGAGAGACCAGAGACCCGACTCCATTTTGTCTCCATCCACAACGCACGCCTGCCCATCCGTACCTAACCGTGGGCTACGCTACCCTTGCCTTACGTCTGTGAGGCTGCTCCGCTCTCGCCTTGGCCCAAGTACCTTGCTTTGGCGCCATTTCCCTAGCGGCACCCATCCAAAAGGTGACGAACCAGAGGTACCTTGCACTGCGTCCTGCGTACCTTGCCTGACGGAGTACACTGCCGCACACCTACCTTACCTTATCCCATCCCATCCTATCCTATCCTATCCTGTCCTGTCCTTATCCCGCCACGGACGGACCAGACACCAAAGACGAGACCGACTGAGGGAGGGAAAAAAATAGACAACATATCCTTCTCCAACAAAGACCTCACTACCTTACCCGTTCGCCTTGCCACGACATACGTCCTAACCGGGGGGATTCCTGCGCATACAGAACCACCTGTTTCCATTCCTCCCCCACCCGCAACCGTGTCATGACTCTGTCCTCCGCCTCAACATGTCGGAACAAACAATGGACGACGTCTCCAAGTTTTTGCAAGATGTCAAGGAGATGAATGCTCGCCGAACCGAAGAAGACGACGCCCGTCAACGCGAACTCGACGAAAAGATACAGCAGGAGAAGAGAGAACGACAAGCTCGTCGCGCCGGTACGTCTATGTCTACCTCTACACATCTTGCCGTCTTTCTCCTTGCTTCCCCCTCCTCCCACGCTTTGCCTTGCCTTGCCTTACTACTGCTTGTCTCTCCTCCCCTCACTCGCTGCATCATCTACCTACCACCGTGTCTGCCCTATTCAACAAGCTTTCTTTTCCCGACTCGGCCAAGGCACAAATCCTACTTTGCAGCTTGCCGTGTGCCATTCGCCTGCTCGTGCTCGTGCCGTGCTATGTTCAGGTTCAGGTTGCCCTTGGCCCAAGAGCTGAGCTACTGACGGGACGGCCGCCGCACTGGGCGAGCCGCGGGCGACGCCTCAACGCCTTGACTCCCACCCCCAATAACCACCACACACACGGCCTTCGTCCATTGTTTTTTCGCCTGTGACCCAAAGGGAAATCATCGACGCTCACTTTTCCTCTGCAATTGGCACTGTTCTTCTCTCCCATCACGTTGCGCGACTGTGTTTTTCAACAAGAAGAAAATCTTTTGGATCGCATTCTCTGACAACATTTGACAGAACGCGCTCGATCCATTTCCCCTCAGAAATCATCCCCGGCCAACACCCCACCTCCCTCCTCTCGAGGTAACACACACACGACGAAGCTTTCCGATGACCTAAGACTGTCTTCCCCCGGTCTCGAACACACAGGCAGCCCTCGCCCTCTCTCACGAGGCATTGCAGCTCCCGAAACCATGGACAGCTTCTCAACCTCTCCAACAAAGGAGAACGATTCCCCCTTTGACGCCGAAAGCAAGCGATCGAGCGTGACATCCCCTACCGGCGGCGTACAAGGAGCGCGGCCGCTGTCGTGGCAGAGACGTCCCAACTCTCAGCATTCGGATCGATCCAAGAGCCGTCCCTTGTCCGTCGTTGCCGCCGAGAACGCGACCAGGACCTCGCAGAACCCAACTCCCGACCCCTCCTCCGCAACCGAGCAGACCTTCTCTAGGGACCAAATCTCTCAATCACTTGGTTCCAAAGACCCCGCGTGGTTCCGCCAAACGGCCGATCGTGCCAGCGTCGGCTCGGCTGCAAATCGCAAGAGTCAGGTTGAGGATACCGATACCAACGACATGTCCTCAATGCGCGCCCATCAGCTCCCCGGCATGAGCCGCAGCTCTTCGACAGACTTGTCTGCCGAGCAGTCTAGCCCGACGAAAGAAACCCGACTGGGCTCTCCGCTGTCACTCAGCAGCTCCCAGAGACTCGACCCCCCTGCCGAGATCTCCGAGAATGACCCCACAGCGCTGCGCCGAAAGTCAATCATAGGATCCGGTCGCTCATCACCCACGCGACCTGTCTCTCCTACCAAGGGCATGGGCGGTTTCGTCCAAAGCGCAATGATGAAGAGGTCAGACAGCGTCAAGAGATGGAGTGTAACCTCTCCCCCTGGCCTTGTCCGCGCCGATTCAGCTGCTTCAAGCCGGCCTGAGTCTCGCTCCCGTCCGCAGAGCATGTATATGCGGGACGGAGCTGCTACGCCTACAGGGTCATCTCACTCTCGGTCTCTGTCCCGCCCCGCATCTCGCCCTACTTCTCGTCATAGCAATCAGGAACAACAAGACGAGATCGAGACTACACCAAAAGCGCCTGTAGCAGCACCTCCTCCCGAAGCCAAGCCCGACGTCAAGCCCGACGTCAAGCTCGATACCAAGCTCGATACCAAGCTCGATAACAAGGAGGAGGACAATAAGGATGTGACACCGCCATCAAGCCCTTCAAAGACTATGGATTCTAGAAGATGGAGCCCGACGAAGGCAAGCTGGCTGGAAACCGCACTGAACAAGCCAGAGTCCCCGAAACCTAAGCCTCCGCCGGTATCAAATCAGCCAGCTTGGATGGTGGAGCTCAACAAAGCAAAGGCTCACAAGGCTGCCAACCCCAGTGCCGACCTAGGCCGAAGCGGCTCAGTATCATCGCAAAAGCACGAAGTCAATGTCGGCGGGCTGATGCGTTCATCACCTATGGGAAGCCATGTGTCCAAGCCCTCTGTAAGTGGCCTCAAGGGTATATATGCGCCACCAGTACAAACCCACAAGACCGGCGGCAGCATCAGCAGCCCAAGCTTCCGTACCAGCACAATCAAAAGCCCGGCAGGCGAGGACAAACTGGAAGGAGATGCTCTGCCCGTGGATATTCCAAAGCGCTCCTCGGTCACTGACAGCCCTTCTGTGGCTAAAGTCAAGCCTGAAACCCCTCCCAAGAAGGATTTCCGCTCTGGCCTGAAGTCCAGAAACGTCTCTGGCGATGCTGCTTCTTCCAAAGAGCCCGCCAACGAGTTGCAGAATGTTTTTGGCAACTTGCGACGGACAAAGACGCAGAATTACGTGGCGCCAGATGAGCTAAAGAGCAATATTTCGCGCGGCAAAGCGGCCTTGAACATCACCGGCGGACCGAAGCCCAGCGAGCGCAAGGATGAGTTCAAGGATGCGATTTTGAAGAAAAAGCAGGACTTCCAGGCTGCTCAATCGCAAGGCAAAGGCGTGGTTAGAACCAAGTCCAATGCATCTGAGAATCCTGTCCCAGAAGCTCTGCTGAAAAGACATGCGTTGAGCAAGTCGATTTCGGGCAGATCAGATGCTACCTCACCCTCCGCTATCGAGCACCGAAAGTCTGTGAGCGAGAGGCCCAAGTCATCGTACAGGGACGATTCCAATGAGTCGGTGGCTTCGCTCAGATCGCCTTCTGTCAAATCACCCTCTGCCAGGTCGCCATCGCTCAAATCGCCTTCTATCAAGTCGCCAGTAGAACCCGGACCTACGGCTGAGGTTCAGAAGGAGAGCATTGCTCCCGGCCGGCTTCAAGGACGTGCCGCTGCCGGTGGCCTAGCGGGCCGCTTCAATCCTGCACTCGCAGGGCTTTTGGCTCGTGGCCCCCCTCCCATGGCTACCAACGGAGGACGAGATGCCGAGAAGTCGGAAGAATCCAGCGGGGCGCCCGCCGAACCTACGGCTCCAGGACCTCAGCTTACACACATGACTAAGGGTCGTGCTCGTGGACCGAGAAGAAAGGCGCCGTCTTCCAAGGCTCCTCCGGCAGCTGCACCAAGCGCAGAAGTGGCAAGCCAACCTAATCCCAGCCCGAGTGCCCTCTCACCGGCGAAGGAGGAGCCGCCTGTAATTGGAGAAGTTGTCAAGAGCCCCGCAAAGGAGGCTCCAATGTCCATCCAAGCCCAGGTCGCTGCTCAAGCAGCTGCTAAGAACAGGCCCGCACCTCTCAAGCCTTTTGGGACCGCTGCTGAGGTTCCCGCTGAGAAGCCTGCGGAAAAGTCTCCAGAGAAGCCTATTCTTCCGGCTAAGGAGGAAGATCCTGTTTCAAAGCGCAGGTCCCGGTCTCCTACGATGAAGCTCCAGGCCTCCCCGATCAAGCCCGTCGAGGAGAAACCCAGCGAACCCGCCTCTCAGCCCACCTCACCTAAGAAGCTGGACATGAAGCGCATGTCTAGATTCTTCGAAGAGAACAACCAGTCGAGCCCAAAGCCTGAAAGCCCCAAAAGGGAGAGCCCAAAGATGGAAAGCCCCCCCAAGATGAGCAGCCCCCCCAAGATGGTCAGCCCGACAAAGGAGAGCCCCAAGGTGGAGAGTCCCAAGATTACCAGCCCTAGGATGGAGAGTCCCAAGGTTGCCAGTCCCAAGATCATCAGTCCCAAGGTTGCGAGCCCGAAGAGAGAAAGCCCAGCTTCGTCGCCAAGCATCAAGCCCAAGCCCGTTTTCGATAAGCCCTTCAGCCCGCCACCCCAAAAGTCGGAGGAAGCTAGACCGAAGCCAGTATTTGAGAAGCCTCCGAGCCCTGTACTTCAGAGAAGCGAGGATGTCTCTCCTGTCAAGACTTTCGGGCGGCCTCTTCCCGAGCCTAAGCCGAGTTCTCCTGCAAAGCCTTTCTCGGACAAGGTTGAGGAAGCTCCTGCGCCCATCAGGACTTTTGGACGCCCGCTGCCCGAACCAACTCCCAGATCACCGACACGGTCTCCCGTTCGGTCACCGCCGCCCAACGAGCAATTCGATAGCCCTCACGTAGCGCCTCTCAGAACCTTCGGCCGACCTCTGTCCAGGCCTAGTTCACCTCAAAAGTCAAATGACAGGGTTGACAGCGAGCCTGTGGTGTCCGTCAAGAACGCTGCATCGATGTTCGGCGGCGCTGTGGTACGGTCGCCACCTCTGGAGGCCAAGTCGCGATTTGAGAGCCCCGTGTCTCCAGTCCAGAGGACTGATACTCCCACGAGGATCTCTACAAGGCCCCTGCCTATCCCACCGAAGCCTTCCTCGCCTACACCAGTCGCATCTCCTGTTCGATCCCCCACGAAGTCAAGCTCAGAGGTCTCCAGTCTATTGGATGACTTTTTTGGCACGCCGCGGCCACAGAGGGAGTACCGCCTTGACACCACTGAAGTGTTGATGAACAAGCCCCGGGTGCGCGACATCCAAAGCCAGGGTACAAGGCTGTTCCAAATCACTGGAGACGGAAAGAAGATGCCTGTACAATCACATAACGAGCGTATCTTGTTCGAGCGGGAAATGTACATCTGTGCTCACACATTTTCCAACGAGGCTGGCTGGAAGGAGACGGAGGTGTATTTCTGGGCTGGTGACGAGGTACCGGCAGCAACTGTGGAAGATACGACTCTTTTTGTCAACCGAGAGGCTCGTTCGCTCGGCGGCAAGCTCGTCAAGATGCGCCAGGGCAGAGAAACTCCCGAGTTCATCATGGCGCTTGGAGGTATGATCATCACCCGTCGCGGTACCAACACCAAGTACGACTCCTTGGCACCAAGCATGCTGTGTGGTCGCCGGACGCTTGGCCAGGTTGTATTTGACGAGGTCGACTTCTCATCTGCAAGCCTCTGCTCTGGGTTCCCTTTCTTGATTACGCAGTCAGGAATGTGCTATCTCTGGAAGGGCAAGGGCAGTGATGTGGATGAGCTGAGTTGCGCCCGTCTCATTGGTATGGACTTGAGCTTGATGGGCGAGCTCCTAGAAATCGAGGACGGCAGCGAGCCGGATAGCTTCTGGGCCATCTTCAATGACGGCACGAAGCCGCACTCTGCAGACCACTGGCGTTTGAAGTCCAACTACGACAAGTACTGCCAAAGACTCTTCCGCTCGGACGCGTCTGCGGCAAAGCAGGTAAGCTCGACGTTGTTTTTGGTCTTCAGCTCACCGCTAATCATGACAACCACAGGTCACTGAAATCAGCCCGTTCACTCAGGCTGACCTGGACCCTTCCTCCATCTACGTACTAGATGCATTCTTTGAAATGTACATCATTGTCGGTAGGACGGCGCAGAGCGAGTACAGCTCCTTCCGCAACGCTCTTGACTTTGCGCAGGAGTATGCCATTCTGGCTAGTGGCATGGAAGATCGGCCCTTTATCCCCATCTCGACGGTCGTGTTGGAGGGTATCCCCAAAGACCTGAAGAGTGTGTTCCGCAAGTGGCGAGACGAGTCTAGTCCGACCATCATGCCCCAAAAGGCGGCGTCCGGTCTGAAGCGCGGACGATCTCTGCGCGTCGTTCCCCTCACCCACGCGCTCCAGGCTCTTAGTGAGTAAGCATCTTCGCGAAGTGCAGTTGAAGCGGGTTCAGTTGGCGGGAGGCGCGAAAGGAGTTTCATAACCAAGAAAGGGGGGCGGCGGCGGGTTTGATGCGATTTTATACCAGATACCCGGATGCTTGGGGAGGTTCAGGAGATGGAGAGAAGTGTACATGAATTATTGTCGCATTTACAAAGGAGAAGGGGAAAGGGAATGGCGAAGGGCGTTTTCTAACTGCAAAAAGAAAGGAGGTTTTGGGTCGGCTGACTGTTTGACCATATATGGCGAGGCGATTCAGGCAACAGTAGCAGCAGCAAGTGGTCATGCACCACGACCATCTTCTTGGTATCGTGGAAACGAATACCAAACTATTCAAAACATGTGACAGTTTTGTGTTTCCATTGTATTTGCAGAGTTTTGCTTTACTCGTGGACGTACCCGTCGATATGTCTCACTCCAGTGGTCACGAAGAGCGATTGTCATGGACGGACGGACGAACGAACGACAATGAAGTAGATGCCAAACGGAAGTGTTTGATTAAAGGTGAACAATGGAAGAATGACCCAAAACTCAACGCCGATGAACTATGGACGAAGACCACACACAACCCCTAGTCCAAAATCCGCTCAGCACCCGCTCCTATCTGAAGTGCCGTGTAGTTGATGTTCTGACTTTGGGTATATTTTGAGAGTCTTTTTTACACTTTTTGTTTTTTTGTGCAACTAACATCTTCTATTGCTTCGTACACAGCAAGCTCCTCTACCCCACCAACCAACCCGCCCAGGTTCAAACGGCCTCGTCGCTTCATGACTCATCCTCTGTATCGGTATTCGTCTCGCTCGTGTCGTCCTGGACGTCGTCGTCCGTACCACTCTCCTCGTCCGAGTCATCATCATCTTTCCTGCGGGGCTTAGTGGCGCCCGGTACGCTGCCGCCCTTGAGGGCTTGCATCTGGCCGGCTATCGAGTCTGATGAATACTGTTAGTATATGGACGATTCCTTTTCGGCTTGGGGTAAGAGAGGGGAGTACTAACCTTCATCGGGCTCACTGATATCATCCTCGGCAACCATTGCTGCCGCCTTGTTTGCCTCCTCCACAACGAGCGTAACCTCCATCTTGGTATCGAAGCCAACGTAGCTGTCGCACACGACGTGCATAACGAATGTGTAATGACCAGCCTGGGGAGGAGCGGCGAATTGGGCCTTGAGGGTTTGCATGTTGAAGGTGGGCTTGCCGTCGTCGCCAAAGATGGGCTGATCGAACTGGGTGAAGGTGAAGGGGGGAACAGCCATCTTACCCTGCTTGGAGTCGGTCAAGAAAACGTACCACTTGGGGGCGTGATCGCGGGCGAAGTAAGGAGCGTGGGCGAGAGGAGGCAGAATAGGCTTGTCGTCAACAGGGATAGGCTTGCCGTCGGGACCCTTAATAGTCTTCTTCTTGCGGCCAAGGTAGGCCTCAAGGTCGTCTTCGGCGGGGTCAATGTCTTCCAGGTCCAGCTCGTTGACCTCGGGCACATTTTCGCTGCCAGGGGGGATAATGCGGCCCTTGACGACAAGGGTAACCAGAGAGGAGGGGATGATGAATCGCTCGCCGGTAACCTTGAAGAAGGCCTTGGCAACGCGGAGCTGGGGCAGTTGTTGAGCGACATTAACGGCAGACTTGTACTGGGCCTCAGTAAGGAGGTTGTTGCGGACCACCAGGTTTCTGCGAAGCTCGTCGGGCAGATCCATAAACTGCTGAAGGGAAATGTGAACCTTGGAGTCGCCTCCCTCGACCTGGCGAACAATGTCCTGGGTAAAGTGAGGGAGCTGAAGGAGAGGAGAGGCCTTGGGCGGGAGAGCCTGGATGAGGTGCTGGCTGGTAGAGTATGCGGCTAGAATGGGACCAGTGTTACCGTACGCTTGGGCGATGGCAGAGAAGGATCGGGTGAGGGCGTGGGCGATGGGAGCAACTTCGTACTTTGCGCTATCGAGGGCGGCGTCCTCGAGCTCGACGCGACCGAGGTAAGATCTCAGGAGAGCCAATGCCTTGCGGCGCACCCCGCTGTCGAGGTCCTCGAGAGCTTGCTTGTCCTTTTGAGAGACACCAGCCTGTTCGGCGTTGGCCTGAAGCTTGGACTCGAGCTTGGAGAGGCCAGACTCGGCCTTGTCACCCTTAAGAACAGTATCGAACTCCTTGCCACTGCTGAGGGCGGTAACGACACCACCCTCGTCAACGTTCTCGTCGTATGCGCGGAAGAGGTTGTTGGCGCTCTCAAGAAGCACGCCATCCTTGGACATGCGCTGAGTGCCGTACCACCAAGAGCCGACCAGGTAAGGCAGGAGGACACCGAGGAGGAGTGTATAGGCGAGGACAACGAACTTGCCGTTGCCGTCAGAGATGATGAACTGGGGGAGCGCAATACCGATGCTGAAGCTCTGCTTTCCGTCGGGGTGGCCATACTGGATGTAGTTGTTGCGGATCTCCTCGTCGGTGAGCGCTTGGTAGGCCTTTGAAATCTCGACGTAGGCGTTGTTAAGGGACTCGATGGTCTCGTTCTTGGCCGGGTCGGGCTTGACCTTGTCGGGGTGCAGCCTCCTTGAAAGCTGCTTGTAAACCTTCTTGATTGTCTTCTCGTCGGCAGACTAGACGCAGCAGCGTGTCAGTACTATTTGGATGAGGTGTGGAAAATGGGGGACAGAAGCGGGCAGCCGGCGAGGCGGAGTGATCAACATACGTCAGAGATACCGAGAATATCATACGGGTTCCAGATCTTTTGTGTGACGCTCTGTGTGTGGATGATGAGGTAGATCATGCCGGCCATGACGGCGAGGCCGATGAGGACGGCAATGACGCGCACGATGCGGCGCTGCTTCTTCTCGTGCGCCTTGCGCTGCTTGTCGATTAGGTCGACATGCTCGGGCTTGAAGTCGCTCTGGATGCGCGGGGCCTTGGCTTCAATGTCCTTGGAGGGGAAGACGAGGGTGTAGCCGAGCGGCAAGGTGATGATGCTGGTGATGGCGAGGATGAAGAAGGGGTAGAATTGCGCCTCGGCGTCGTACGAGTAGTCGGAACTCATCTTGACGGGTGCAGCGACGAGCTCTGGAGCTCTAGACTGTCGGTGTCGGGTTGCTGTGTATGTTGTGTGTTGAAGAGGTGGTCAGTCGTGAAGTCGAGATCCAAGTCCGAGTAGGAGGTCTTGCGCGCGGATCCGGACACGTCGCTGAACAGCTATGCAGCCCAGTAAAAAAAAGGTCTTAAAGAGCGGGAGTGTGTCGCGCACGGCAGTTTACACTTGAAGAAGAGTAGACAAGACCAAGAAGGGTTATGAAAAGGAAAAGAAGAACAAGTCAGAGACCGTCAAGGAATGGTGTCTACCTCCGTTCGCTGGTTGCTTCTTCCAGGTCGAGGTCGAGGACTTGGTTCGGGGTATGAAGTGGCCGCAATCTGCTGGCTTTGGCCAAGTCACTTTCTTTTGACAATCGTGGCCTCGAAATAAACTGGTGCTTGTGCCTGCGCTGGTGGCTGCTTCTGCGGTGGTAGTTTCCGGAAGAGCGGGCAGGGGTTTGCCAGTGGGTCCCTTGGTGACAAAGGTACTTAGAGCCCTGGAGTTCCTCAACGCAGCACCTAACCTTAGGTAAGGTGAGGTAGGTAGAACACCCTGGGGGAGGTCACTGTGTCCTGTCCTCGCTGGCTACGTGCGCTGTGTGAACGGCAAGGTCCAATCAGACCCAATCACTACCTACCGCGGTACACAATACAACAGCGGGCCGTCAGTGCACGCCCTGAAGGGACCCCACAGCTTGCTCCAACCTTACAAACCTTGTCCGCCTCCTCCTTCCGCCGCTCACTCGTGCGACTGCTCCAGCGCAAGTGCTTCTGGGTTCCTTCTGATTCTGACACGGGGAAACGGCAAATGGAATATCTGTCCTTCCCCAAATTGGACCTCTTTTACCCTCCGCCGGTCGGTTTGAGCCTTCTGTTTTCCCCTCAGTGTCTTATTTAGCTTTTGGAGGTCTCCACCCTTCTTGCCGTACCGTACCGTGCTTACCTAATTCCCGTATAACCGTTCCTCGGCGTCGCTAGTCCGAATCAGCGACGGTAAAACGGCCGGCCTGCAGACGATTGCCTGCTAGCTTCATAACGCTACCTTGCCATGTTAATATTCGAACGGGAGGAGATGGAATCGTCATGAGAGGATAAACTAAGAATGGATAGCGAATGTTATGGGTAGCCGAGGAAGAACAGATTCCATCGACGCCTCCTAATACAACATCGCGGTCGACGATACAGAAATGAAAGCACTTTATTGGTGTTTTCGCAACGTTCAATCCATGCTGCTATCATAATCCCGCGCCCTGCCCATCCGCTACGTACAAACAGCAATTCTATTTTTTCTAAACACCCTTGTTTTAAAGCCCAGAAGAGGCATGCCTCAAGTCAGTGTTGATGATCAGGTCATCTTTGCCTCTGAGATGCATGACAATGGTGAGCCCTTCGACTCCCGGTTCGTAGTCATCATCCTGGCTGACGTTGACGCCCACGTCCACGTGCCCAGGCGTGTCGCGTCGTTCTCGAGAAACGATTTCCGCCTTCAACTGCCGCACCTCCGCTGTCAAATTGAGATATCTCTCCTTCCAAGAGCATGTATGGTTCGGTGGCATGATTGGTAGCGGACTGAATACCTCGACCTTGTTGTCAAGAGATCGAGATAATCGCTCCACGGGCTCCGCGCTGTTGTTGGCACTGGCTTCCTCGACTTTGAATGTTTCCGAAGTAGAGTGATTAGCCTCCAAAGTTCGGGAGACTTGGCTCACGGTCTTGGATTCAATCTTGACCGTTGTCGAGTTCCTTGAGCTCGACCTCTGAGAGATCGATTTCTTCATCTCTTCAAGGCGCTTATGTCTCATTGCGTAAGCCTGGTCCTCCTGCGCGACTTGGTCCGTAATGTCAACCTCATGCAGAGAGGCTGTGACAGCATTTGACGCACTGCTTCTCCCGTGGGCGGGAACATGCGGTGATGGCGAGTCATCGCCACACGAGACGCAACTGTCTGCCCGCTTGCGATCGATGTGATGTGTGTTGTGTCCCTCAGCAGACTCGGCTTCTGCCGCTGCAACTTTTCGAAGCTGAGATCTCCATGACTCAACGTCAGCAGCCTTCTGTTCCTGAGCTTGCTGCGATATGTTCTCCTCTTTATGCACACGACGCAACGGTCTCTTCAGCCACGGAAGTGGCTCCTTTTCCACTTCATGGTTTACCTCTTTGTGAACCTTCTTCAACTTTGGCCATTGAATAGACGCTCCGCCTGTTGGGGAACTGAGCTGCTCAAATTGCCCCTGGATCAGGTGGCCACTGCTCTTGGCACTCTCGGAAGAAATCGCAGATGCTGGACTGATCGTCTCCGCGGCAGAATCTCGTCTACTAGGCGTCTTCATCTGGGGAGAACTCTTGGTCTCCATTGTGGTCAGTCTGCTCGTCGTGCGATTTGACATCTGAGTAGGGCTCTTCAGCCATGATGGAGAACGAGAGAGGCGTCCCCCAGCAAGAACAGACAGCGACTCTGAGCCCTTCTTCTTGACTGGATCTACGTCAAGAGACTGTGCCCTCTCTAGGCCATGGACGTCCTAGGCCCTGGCGCGCTCGCTGCTTTCGGCCATCGCCGCATCGAAGCTGATTAACTTCTCGCGGTTGGCGTCAAGACCTTCGGCTCGGGACTGCGTCTGCTGTCCAGAGGGAGGATTGTGTTGAGAGTTCTGTTTGCTCGCTGAGAATCCCGCGGAACCAGTAGCCAGGTGCTCCATGATGTGCTGTGCACGCCTGAGATCCTCAGCATGATGGTACATTTGGTCAATCTTGTTCTGGACGGGATCCTCCAGCGGAAGATGTGGTCGCAGCTGCTCCGAGTCGTCCATGTTTGCTGAGCTTTGCTGCCCGACAATGCATGCAATACTGTGGCGACCAGAATGATGTCCGGCATGGATGGCATTGCACCTTGGATTCCCGTAATCTCCGTGTGTCTCTGCAGGATTCAAGTCCGTTTGCCTAGGAACACAATCTGAGAGCCTTGATGCTTGTCCCGCGCCAACCGTCATGTCAGTAATCTGAGGTTCGGCCGTGGTGATCTTCGTCATCCTGTCGGCCAGTATGAAGGGGTTCTCATTGAGATTGACCGAGGTGGCCGGAGCCCTCTGGTTTTTCTTCGATGTCTCTGTAGTTTCCAGGCTAGAGGATGATCGAATATGCTCCTCTGTTAGTTTCGAAGTGTGATGCTGACTGATTACAGCATTTCGATGACTACTCTCAGTATGCTCAAGGTCGATTGAGCCATCGTCCGGTATTTCGCTGGCGCATTGTGGGCACACCGCATGGCCGCACGTGGAGCAGAATGTGCGAGAAGTTACCTCTGCGCCGCAGGAATGGCACGTGTTGAGAACATGCCTGGGAATGCTGTTGGTCCCATCTCGGTGACGCGAAAAATCTTCTTCTTCGTCGTCAGAGAGCCATCCCGACGGACGAGAGATGCCAAATTCTGCAAAGATGTCTCGAGCATGGCGTTTCCGAATGGTCGAGGTAGTGAGGTCTGTTCCGTGAGACTGGGCGGAGGAAACAGAGTTGTTGGAGAAGTTTCGTGACTTCTGCGGGCTTGATGAGGCCGAAATCGATGTTATAGACATCTTTGGAGGCCGGCTTAGCGTTCTGCTCGGTCTTATTCGAAGCCGACCGGTCGAAGCGGTCTGGCGAAGCTCCGTAGAGTTCGGGTCGGCTACTCGTGGGGGAGTGAGATACATTGACTTCTGCAGACGTAACGCAGGTATGGCGGCTTGACCATTGCTTCTGGAGGCTTGCTCTGGACTCTGTCCAAAGAATGAGTGGTCTTGTGACGGCACCCTGGACTCTGCAGTTTGAGTGTTGCGCGTTGCCGGTCTCGCGAAGACCTTGTTGGTGCGTTGGCCCTAACCAGACCAAGTGCTCTCGCGTTCCCTCGCACCTAATGGCGATGGCTTGCGGCTCCAAATACGAGTAGAGGGTTGTCTTGAGAACCTCTGTCGTCGCGCGGAAACGAGGCCCTCTGGGATGTCACCATCGTCGGGCTCGGCCGTGAAGACGTTGGCTCGCGGCGGGGAAAAGTCGTCAACGAAGGGATTTTCCATACTGAGAAACAATGGGTAATGATTTAATAATACTGTATGATGTCGCGGGACGTGCAAATTGGTACTGTAATGGATGGGCCGTGGGGGGTTGAGAAACAATGCTCCTTGACGGGCGATGCGGAACATTTACCTAGGGAAGAGGATTTGCCTCGAGTGAGGTCAGGATAAGTAGTTTGAGATCAAAAGGCAGAAGACAGGCAGGGGCCTCCTCATGGATAGGAGACAGGACCGACCTGGTCTCCAGTAGGTAACCTCGACCTATATCGTCACTCCGTGGAAGGACCGTCTGGTACATGACGTAGCATCCATGGCATACACGCGTTAATGGATTTTGACAGAGAAAGAGCGCTAGAAACGTCGCAAGTGGATTCAATTATGCGATGTTAGATAAAGTTAAGGGAATCCGAGTCTTGATGTACAACGTCATGTGTCTGCCACGACCTTCTTTTACACTCTATTTCAGGGCAGCCTGGAGGCTCTCAAGAACCTGGAAATTGCAATTAGCATCCGTACTGCACCGCTCGAGCGCCATGTTTAGGAAAGAACTCACCTCGACCTCAATCTTCGCCTCGGCGATCTCCAACTCGCTTCCACTGCCGCTGGCGACCTTCTGGGCCTCGGCGAGCTGGGACTTGACAGCCTCGGCGCTGAAGTCCTCAATGGGGTATCCCTCGGTGGCGTTGATGCTGAGGACAGAGTTGGGCTGGACAACGGCAAAGCCGCCGGACACTATGGACACAATCATCGTTAGTTTCCTGCCTTTCTCCTATCCCTTGAAGAGCTCTATCTCGGTTGTAACGTACGGAAGAACTGCTTGCTGGGGCCGCTCTCCTCGACAACCTCGACCAGACCGGGCTTCAGCTGCTCAATGGCGGGAACGTGGTTGGCGAGGACACCCATCTCGCCGGAGTCGGCGGGGATGTTGACCTGGACGACATCCTGGGACTGGTAGATGGACTGTGTGTTGCGGCAATTAGCTCCGATCCTTCAATTGGCTTCCGCCTTGAATCCCCCTCGTGTCGTCGTCTCGTCTCGCGTGCAATGATATCGGGCATTATCGAATTCGTACCTGGTGAGGAAGGGACAAGCTCAGCTTGATCTGCAAATGGTCAGCGGGTACTCGGGATGCCTCCGGCTCGGAGGATGCAGGCTCGGGCTGCTTGCCTTGTCCGGGACGGCATCTGCGTAGGTTCTGCGCTGGAGGGGAGCGCGAAAGGCAGCAGGACGGGCTCGGAGGGCCGCGCGCGCGAAGCGGAAGGAGTTCATGATGGGCTGAGCTGGCAATGGGGATGTGTTGCTGGAGGCAGCTCGGGTGAGGTCGCAGGCAGGAATCTTTCGGCTGAGTCCATTCGCGATTCGGCTAGCGGGAGAAACTTTGGTCACGCCGTAGAGCACATGACCCGCAGTGCACGGAGCAGCCCCGATTAACTCCATCAACCTGTTTGAACAGAGGAGGACGCATTAACAGGAATTTATGTAACTACAAAGCATAATACTTTAAAGAGCTTCTGGGCCTCTGTTCAATGATATCTCGCCAACATCGTGCCTTCCTCCTGTTCCAAGCTGCATGCAAGTGTGTGGTAGGTCAGCAATGTCATTTTGCCTTTTCTTCAGGAACGCAAGAAAGTCTCTAAGTATATCATTCCGAATGATCGTTGCGTGCGGCCATTCTGAATTTGTAAGGCCTCATGTCATCCATGACGCTGGAAACCTGGACTCTCTCACTGTGCTTGTAGAATATGCAACGCCCATGTATTACTACACCAAATCGTTCTTGCTCTCATCCTCATATGATTGCATCTGCCAGGTTGGCCTACTTCATCTCGCGTGAATACTTCAATGCATTCGCAGTTTGACGATGAAGCTGAACTATCTATGCGATGCATGTGCAGATAGATGACCGTAAACCCAATGCCTTCCTACCTAAGTACGCTGATACGAGGGCCATCATCCAGGTTCGGCGTGATGAATCAGGACAAAGACTTCCCGGATATCTGTATATTCATCCCCTCCACGCAATACACCACAAATGAGTGCCCATATAGGTCCCCTCAATTCCGTTCCTGTCACCAGTCAGGAGGCGCCCGTCTAGGTCGACGGGTCAGGTCAAACTGGCTGGGTGGTGGAATGGTTCATGGTCAACAAATAATTAAAAACGCCCACAGCCTACTCGACGACGGGCTACGAGTTCGATTTCAATTCCTAGCCTGAACACCAGAAATTTTCCCAGCATGAGCACCAAGAGATGTAGCCCCCAGTTCAGCACCGGGGGGGGGGTGAACTCTTTTGCCATTATGATTCATTTTTACCAAATTGTAAACATTGTCTGTCCATGATGGCACTTGGTATTGTCTTCACTTGCTGCAACGGAAGTCCATAAGACCAAGTGATGACTGAGAATTTCGAACCCATCGCATGTTCTCGAATCTTCATCTCAGCCGAGTGGCTCCAGCTCTGTTTTGAAGAAACATATGTCACTACGCAATCACAGTAGTGGATGGCATCTTATAGTTTTGGATACATATAGTGAAACATTTCGAATGGTCTCAAGGCAGTAGCAGTCTTCAGACAGCCGCAATAGTGACGAGGGTTCTCATCCTTCCTGCCTCGTGGCCTTGGCCCAATATCCTCCCTGAGCACCATACTCTGCGACATTGATATGATCAACTCGAGGTCAATCTCAATTGAGAGGCTGTCAGATTACACGGGGAGAAAGGAGGCGCTTACAGCCACATGCCATAAATCGATGGTGCCGCTCTGACAGGAATTACATAGACAGAGACAGGTTGGCCTTGTTTTGTTGAATTTGACGACAGTATTAGCAAGCTTCTGGACCTTCTTCTTGCCCTCCTTAGAATGAAGGCTTTGCTTTGAACCCCGGCAAGCGTTGCAAAACTGTATGTTGGGAATAAAGATCGTAAGCTTTGAGAGTACTTGCGAAGGTCATCCATCACCGGCAGGTTCAGTACAAACATATGCATAGCAGTCCTCCCATTGTGAACTCTCAAGGGAATTCCACTTCATTCTAGTTATCCAATTCTTTCTCATCTGGATCTATTCGCTGTAGTAGCGGTGATCTAACTCGCGGATCTGTCGCAGTACTAACATTTCGTGGCCTCATGGATGATTCTCCTTCTCGCTGTCAACAAACGCCGATCTAGTTTGTCCTTATAATTCATGAAGGCCCAGGGAATTCTGAACTTGTATAACGGAGCAACTCAGAAAATTAGGCGTTTACTGACTATTACTTCAGAATACGTCAGCCTAGTTTCAAATCGCTCTTACTGATTCTTGGTTGAGGTGTAGAATTGACGATCAATTCCAACAGCACGCTGCCAAATGCCACTAATATTGAACATCCATTCACTTCGTAGAACCCATGCTTGATGCTTTTGTATCACAACGTAATTAACGTACTGTATGTAGACACTGCTGGAGTAGTTTGTGTGGCCACTGAACATACTCTGCTAGCTAATAACATTGCGAGTATTTCCCTTTATCCGTGGGATGTAGTCGTTCACAACTCCTCCTCGTCACATCCCTCGAGTTGTAGTCACATGTTCTGCGAAGGAGATATAGAATTAACCCAGGACCTCGACACTGGGCTGTCAAGGGCCGCTTCCTCGAGGTGAGCAGGGCCAACATACCGCAGACTTCAACCAACCTACAAGGCAGATATCTCGTCCAGTGGAAGGATTAAAGGGCTCTCCCCCGAGTACGTCTATCGCAGTGCCTCACTTCTTGGGATATAGGTCATCACTATCAAGTTGCTTGGCTCAGGATTCTTACGGCGCGGATGCAAGCCAGCCAGATGTCCCTTGCCAATGAGCACCCCTCGATAATTCGCAGGGCCTTGTGAGTTACACCAAGTCGCCACTCCAACGCAATGAATATCACAAGGCGAATGTTAAACGCCCTCTACTTTTTATACAACTATGTTTAGTTATTAGCACGATAAAAGAAACGAAGTAAGGCGAAAATCCGGGTACATGAACTGAGAAAATGAGCAAGTCCTGCTTCACGACGTCTTATCCCATGACAAACAGAACTTGATGTACATTCGCCAAATTGTCATTAGCAGCATGTATGCCTCCATGCCAGCCATATTGAAAGTCTCACAGCAATGGATATAGCCAGATGGCACCGTTTCCGCGTGCTGTCCTTGTCTTCCTCGCGCTCCTAGACGACTACATGCACCTTACATCATGTGGGCGACTGCTCCGGCGTGCTCTGCCAACGTTAGAGAGAAGTTCTGGCAGATAAAGGGGCTCCAGCTGATAGAATACCTAGACTAGAATGAGCACTCACCAATGATACTTGTTGTTGAGCATGGCATCAAAGTCGACGGGACGCCTTCGCTCAGCATGCCCATCAACACGTAAGCAGAGGAAAACATAACCACTCAAACCACATGTCAATCACGTCTCGTCACATTTCACTCGCCAGTCAGCTTACCTATACAGACTCACATGTCCAACCTCATGATTGATTCTGTACTCAGCTGCCTCGCCCATAGGTAAGCAACGAAATATGACATACGACCTCCACGTAACAACCGATATCTGACGATACACGACATGCCACGCGAAAAGGATGTTGAAAGCAGGCGACTGACTCGACAAGTCCCGGATCAACATCGATAGTTGAACTTGGCTCTGTCGACCTCTTCACGTCCCTATCTCCCACGATGGACAGTGGCTGGCATACGTTGCTTAGCCTCATGCGAGGGCAACAAGATTGACATGGTCCTGCTGCATCGCTCGTGACCGACGATCACCAACAACGTACTGCGTGCCGTCAATCACTTCCACATATAAACCGTTTCGAACCTATGCCATCAAACCACACCCGGTAACCGCCACGTTCCGATATTGTCCAAATGGGATCAATGATCACCACGTCGCCGAGGATCTTTACTCTACGTAACTTGGATAGACTTTTGACCAAAATACCATGCCCCTCAAAGATGGCGAAATCTACAAAGAATGTACAAATGTACCAAAATTCTCCGACATAGGAAAGAGATACCTTGGCAGTGCCACTTGGCGACAGCATCCGCCTCCTTTGAAACGAAACATCCTCCCAAGCCGCAATGATCGACACAGAAAGGACACCTAAAAAGGACAAAAGAAGATGGACAGCGATCTACAGTCTCGAGAGGCACCAGCCACACACACTCATGCTGAGCCTTGAAACCGGGGAAGCCGTCATCGGAGGAAGGCGAACGAGGCGAACCCTCCCTCGGCCGATGACGCTCCCGATTCTCCCTCTTTCTCGGCCCTCCCATGGGCCCGTGGAAAGATGATCCCCTCCCCCGAAACTCCATGGGGGAAGTAAAGATCCGCGGCTCATGAAACCTCGCCTCAGGCTTCACGAGGCACGAGAAGATAGCCAGAACCAACCGGTCACGCTTCTCACCATTCGTGACTCGCCAGTCTTTCACTATGACCGAGCTCCCGGGCGCCGAGAACCGAGAACCGAGGAAAAGATGGTGGTGTGTATAGGTATGCGCCAGGGGACGAGGATTCAACACCAGTTGAGCCTCATGGCAATTTCGACAACCACCGACGGCAGTAACGGCCCTCAAGGTTGAAAGGCTTCCTGCCCTTCCCCCAACGGACCATGCGGTCGAGGTTCTTCCCTTGAACATTCTGGAAGCAACCGAGACGGCAAAGAAAGGTCGACGAGATCAGACGAAGGCGAGGCATGTGTCATTACCCATGCCTCAAAACCCCGAGGCCAGGTGACTCGATGCCTTAATGACGATTGGGCAGCCTCTGTCTCTCGAGAAGCCCAAACAGTTCGCTCTCGTCTTATCAAGCTTTTTTATTATTAATTTTATTCTTTTCTTCTCTTTCCCTCGGGAACAAGATTTCAGAAACGTTCATGCGAAACGCCCGACCAGGGGGCAATCATGGCGAACTCCCATTCGCGATTGAACAGTAGCAGGATGGAGGATGAGCGCCTCATGCTTCACTTTTCTCGCCCTCAGTATCGAGAGACCGTGACACTCACTTTTTTCAGTATACCGTGCCTGTGTGCCTCTGTCGAATGAACCGAACGTTCAAGGACCCTGGAATCTAAACCGACCACACCACAACCTCACAAACACAGCCAAACTTTCCCAGCATCGGATTGCCACGGCCCAAGAAGAAAAAGCTCTGAGACGTCTTGACCTCTCCCTTTGGAGCGTGTGTACTTCCCCAAAAGTCTCGAGCTTACGAGAGTCAATTGCTGCCTCCAAGCCCCTTGAGGAATTAAAGCCA